CCTTCAGCAGCTGAACCACTCTACGGTGCTGGAGGCTGACACTAAGCCTGGTGTGGGCAAGTGTGTGAGCATGGAGTTGCCACCCCACCCGCCTGTGACTTGTTCTTTGAGACAAGGTCTTGCCTGACCTCTAGAGTGCTAAGTCACAGGTATGTTCTACCATACCTGATCTAAGTAATAGTTTTAAAAGACAAATTTAAGGGCTGGGTAGGTGAACTTGATCCCCAGAACATAAGAAGAAAGAAGACCACCAGACCACTCATTTACAGCACTCCAACACCCTCCCCCGCCATGACCCTGTCATAAACTCCAAGGCCTTGCTCATGATACACCAAAGACTCAGCAATCCAGTCCCTACTCCATCAGCCAAGTGCCCCCGAATCCTCTGCACGCCTGGATGCCACCGCTTCTTCAACTCCCCAGACATCCTATAATCTGAATGTTCCTCAATCGAGTCACTCCCTTTCTGTTTGTCTTTTGAGACAGGGTTTCACTCTACACCCTAGGCTAGGCTCAAGCTCATGATAATCCTCCTGCCTCAGCCTAAGCATTGCAATTATAGACATGGGCCAGAAAATCCAACAAAACCATTTCTCTAAGACCATGCATTATCTAATGTATCCTATTACATTTGAGAGACTAATGATAATTCAAATAGAAGCAAAAATTAGCCTTCAATTTACTTTACCTTCAGAAACACTGCCTCAAGAAGTTCAGACCTTAAGAAGCAGTGCAGCAAGAAAAACAATGACATCATGAGGTTTGCAGGCAAATGGATGGATCTAGAAAATATCATCCTGAGTGAGGTAACCCAGACTCAGCAAGACAAACATGGTATGTACTCACTCATAAGTGGATACTAGATGTAAAGCAAAGGTTAACCAGACTACAACCCACAGCTCCAGGGAGGCTACCTAGCAGGGAGAAACCTAGGATGACTCTGGCTTATAATAAGTTTTGGTTTTGCCCAATCACTGGGCAAGCTTTAGAGAAACATTTCACTATTAGGATAAGAATTTGTACCTTATCAGGCTGATGAAAGAAAATGCTAGCCATACTTTCAGGAGGGGAGGCTAAAATCTTTTTAGATTATGTATTAGCCTATAGAAAAATGTCTGCTGTACATCAAACAGTGAAGGGGAAGATGAGTAGGAATCTCACTTACACAACTTAAGGAAAACGTAGCTCTCTGAACAGATGAAAAAGAGAAGCAGCAGTGCGGCATCACCAAAAGCATATTCCTTAACTCCAAAAGGACTGCCAAGCAAAACCCTGGAGATTCAGAACAACCCCAGGGGAAAATCGTTCAACTAGTATGCAAAAGCACCACATTAGCATTTCAAATGTATTAATCTCACTTGATTTTCATAAAAACCCAACAAGTATTAGGAATCCGATCGGAAAGTCGATCACAGGACTGCTCTGCAATGAAGGCAGGATTCTGAACTCAGCTCCAGCCCATTTCCAAAGCATGGTTCTCCATGCACTATGTCCTTTCCTAACTACTAAGAATCAGACAAAATGCAGTAAATAAATATGCGGGCATGTTTGGATTTATCTAACACAGCTTAGACTTTCTGATTTTCTATGGCATATTAAAAATATGCACATCTGGCTGGGCAGTGGTGGCGCACACCTTTACTCCCAGCACTTGGGAGGCAGAGGCAGTGGGGTCTCTGTGAGTCTGAGGTCAGCCTGGGCTGTCACACAGAAACCCTGTCTCAAAAGAGCAAAAACAAAAACAAGTGTGCACATCTTGCTTTTCATCTGCCCTATCTGCTGACTTTCAAAGACTTCAAAAGCTGGATGGAGGGAGCTCATGTCTGAAATTCTAGCGCTGAGGCAGCTGAGGCAGAAGGAAAGTCAGATGTGGTGGGGCCCAACTGGAACCCTAGCACTCAGGAGGACTGCCTTCAGCTGGAAGCCAGCTTGTGTTACCAGGTGAGTTCTAGGCCAGACTGAGCTGTAGAGAGAAGCCTGTCTCAAAAACAAACAAACAAACAAAAAACCCAAAGCCGGGTATGGTGGCACATACTTGTGGAGAGGTGGAGGCAGGAGAATCGAAGCCCTTGGCTAGCTAACAAATTTCAGCCCAGCCCAGGTTACATGAGAACCTGTCTAGAAACAAGACAGAAAGACTCCCAAATTAATCACTGTTTCAAGACATAAAAGACCAAAATATAATTCAAATTAGGTATTACATCACTTCACTTGAAACACTTTTTCCACACATACTCTCTCCACTAATCCCCACCTGAAATCAAATCGTTCCTTTACAGAGGACCAGAATAAGCCTCTCAGAAGCTAAGCAGACAATAGACTGTAAGCATCTGAATGGAGGGGCTGAAGAAATGGCTCGGTGGCTGGAGCACTTGCTGCTCTTGTAGAGGACCCGGGTTTGGTTCCCAGCACCCACATGGTGCCTCCCACCCATCTGGAACTCCAGTAGCAGGGGAGCTGACACCCACTTCAAACCACGTGTGCATATGTGCAGGCAAAACCCTCAACACACATACAACAGAAGTCAATCTTTTAGAAAAAGACCTTGAGCCTACGGCCAGAATACCATAACCAAAAGTCACAATGTCATTCCTTGTGAAGAAGAGGGTATGGCTGCAGAATGAGGAGAGCAAAACAGGACTGAGAGGGGAACAGGGCCAGCAAGTGCTCTCAGCTGGGGAACGCACTTGCTAAATTACCTACATTCAACCCCAGAAAGAGAGCCAAAGAACAGAAAGGTTGGTCTCTGTCAGCTGTCCTGTTTTGACGGCCACAGGCGCCATAGCACACAGGCAAGCACAGAGCCACTCACTCACATCACAACATCCTATAGCAAGTAAATCTTAGAAATTTTCATGACATAAAAGAGAAGGGGAAGCGGGGCGGTGGTGGCGTATGCCTTTAATCCCAGCACTCGGGAGGCAGAGGCAGGCGGATCTCTGTGAGTTCGAGGCCAGCCTGGGCTACCAAGTGAGTTCCAGGAAAGGCGCAAAAGCTACACAGAGAAACCCTGGGGGGGGTGGGGCACGACAAAGGTCAGTGAGGGGGTAGTAAAGAAATGTTTTAACAGACGTCTATTTTGAGAACATAACTGCCATGCTACATGAAACAGGACTAACCAATCTAATTGAAAATATCCTGGGGCTGGAGAGATGGCTCAAGGGTTAGGAGCATAGACTGCTCTTGCGAGGGAGGACCCAGGTTCAGTTCCCAACACCACATGGCAGCTCACAGTCATCTCAACTCCAGTGCCAAGGGATCTGCTGCCTCCTCTGACCTCCAAGGGTCCCTATACACACAGATGCACATGCAGGCAAAACACTCAGACAAACAAAATAAAAATAAATAAATCCTAAGTAATAATTACAAAGTCCTGTTCCTTCAGAGTGTACATCAAATCTAAATTAATTCTAATTTCATTTTCTTAAAATTTCATTACACAAAATATGATATAGGCATAGAAGGGAGGAAAACACATCACAGCTGTTTGTACAGATACAGAATTTTTCATAAGATCAATTTTACATTGTTAAAATTTCCTTTTAAAAAGTTCTCCTTTAGGGGCTGGAGAGATGGCTCAGCAGTTAAAAGTACTTGCTGCCTTCCAGAGGGCTGAGTTCAATTCCCAGCACTCACAAGGTGGAGTTACCATCTGTAACTCCAGATCCAGGGACGCCAATGCCCTCCTCTGGCCTCTGTGGACACCCAGGCATGCACTCGAGGCACAGACATACATGCAGGCAAAACACCCATACACATAAAATAAAAACAAATAAATCTTTTTTGTTTGTCTGTTTGTTTCTAGAAAGGGTTTCTCTATATAACAACCCTGGCTGTCCTGGAATTTTTCTGGACCAGGTTGGCCTTGAACTCAGAGATCCCCCTGCTTCTACCTCCCAAGTGCTGAGATCCAAGGCGTGCATCACCATGGCTAAGAACAAATAAATCTTTTTTAATAAAAACTTCTTTAGGTCCAGTGACGGCTCAATAGAGGGCATGCGCCACCAAGCTTGCTGACCTGAGTCTGATATCTGGGAGCTACAAAGTAGAAGGAAAAAAATCAACTTCTAATGCCGGGCAGTGGTGGCTCACGCCTTTAATCCCAGCACTCGGGAGGCAGAGGCAGGCGGATCTCTGTGAGTTCGAGGCCAGCCTGGGCTACCAAGTGAGTT